TTTTGGTATTACTAGATCTTCTGTATTACACATAATTCAGGGGAAAGAAAACCACCATAAAAGGAATATGTAAGGGGATACTCATCCAAACCATGCATTCTACAAGTGCAGTTTAAAACTTTTTAGAGCATTAAGCTTCTTATTTTTTTTTAAATGCTTTGAACTCATGCAGTGTACTGTAATATTTATGTAATGCTGGAAAACATTCTATGCTTAGGCAAACAAACCCTGGTGAAGGGTAAAAGGAATAGGACACTAATTAGTGTTCTGACAAAGATAAAATAGCTCATGGTCATGATATGACCCAAGGGACTGAGTCTAGTTGAAGTCAAAGATAATCTTTCCATTGTTTACAATGATCTTCAAAAACCTCTGAAGTGACGGAGGAAATTCTTTCAGCAACATGGTTGCATTACACATTAAAATTGGCTGAACACTCAAATCCATTGCAAGAGGTAAAAGTAGACCTATTTCACTCAACCTTTTAGAAAAGAAATATTTTTTAAGATGTTAAAAAAAATAATCATTCTTGTTAAACTATTTGCCTTTCAAAAGAATTTGAAAATAAAAAGTCTTTCTCTTTCAAAAGATTTTGAAAATAAACCTTGGAAATGTTCAAACATTACTTCATGTTGCTGGTTAAAATGTTTTCTAGTAAGACAAAAAGCATAAGGTCGTTTTGTTTTTATTGGCCAAAAAAAATAATCTTTTAGGTTATGCATGATTTAGATTAAAAAATATTTTGGCATTTTCTCCAAACTCTGTTTGGTTAACAGGTTTACTGGATGCATTAAAAAGTAAATGTACTGAATTTCACTAAAAGGAAAAAGCTTTTCAGAGAATCTCATTGTGAGTTTTTAAGACAATGGCTATCTTAAGACACATATTAAATAGAAAGACTGAAAAAGGGTAAAAAAATGCCTTCTGAGGCTTTGGAAAAGATTTTCTTCTTTTGCTTGCTTAATTCATATATAAAGGTAACTAAAAACAGCAATTCTATTCCAAACATCAAGAGCCATTTCTGATTCTCGAAATTCCTCCAGAAAGAGTCCAAAATAGCAACTACAAAGTGTGCAGAAGAAAAATTACTTGCATTGGATATTTTTTAAAAGTCCTTTTTGTACCTCAGTGGAGGTTGTCTGAGATTACAATAATTCAAAATACGCAGACCAGGTAGGGGCTGAGACCAGAATATTTGGAAATTTACTAATTTAACAAAGCACATTCATGTTGCAGATCAGATTCAACGAGAGATGATTGTACCCCTGGCTGTTTCTATACTAGTGTTTTGCCAATTAATAAAAGTTGTGCATGTGATAATTCACAGCTTGAAGTAAAATTTTAAAATTTCCTCTCCCTTGCACTGGAGAGATCTGCTCACCGTTCGTATTTTGATCCTCATTCCCACATGCTCTGGGAGAGGAGCTCAAAGAGTTTAAACTAATGTACTGTCTGTAGATGTTATATTTGATTCACGACTGATTGGCTGTTTTACAGATTGCTGCACTGCCACACGATTTATGGTTTGCTTCTAAATGTAGGAGATTTTTCTTTCATGGTGCCATTAATTTTTTTCTTTAATTACTTCTTCTCGTGGACATTCTCCATAAATTAATAACTTGTTAGCATATAAATTAGGTCCCCAAAGTGATGAATGCTGTAAAAAATTCTTCTGTAGATGCATACACGTATTTTTGACAGTTGAGTTGCAGAACTACCAAATACATAAGCCACCTTAACCAAGATCTAATTTTACCTTTCCTTAAATGTTGTTGACTCCCTAAAAAAGCCACCAACTACACTTCAAATGGGCAGGTAGGACTGCAAAACCCATACAAAAATAGTTCCTTCCTTAACTACCTTAGCTGAAGATTTAATAAGGGACTCTATCTTGCACCACTGTTATGCACATCTTAGTAGCCCTTCATAGGAAACATACTGCAGAATGTATTATAACATAAATTTTCAGTCCATACCTTCTCAATGAATAATGTTGAATGCATGGAAGTGTTGCTGTTGCTTATTTTACATTCATGTCAGTGGATAAGAATGTTAAAACCACCTGCCATTAGAATTCAGAAAGACACTTCCCCAACTTTCCTTGAATGTGTCTGGAATGATACCTGGCAATCCAAAATGAAAATAAGGATGATAAAGAACCTCTTTACCTTGCTCACTTTCCACCCAGACAAAATTGGCCAAGTGGTTGTAAGAAAGTGTGTTTTTTACTTACAGAGAAAATCTGACTGTCCCGCCAGTTTCTGAACCCCGAGGTATCTGGTTGAAGGAATCCAGAACAGGTTTGATAGAATTAAGTCCAACTGTCAGTGTAAGTCCAATTTATATTACTGGGACATCTGAAAAGAAAGAAGAAAATCACACATCAACAAAACATGTTTTGTAGAGCAATAATAAGGGATTTTTTGATACAAAAAACCACCAAACCTAGAGAATTACTGGAAAATCCAGACCATGCTCCTAAGTAGAATCTTCCAATCAGAAATAAAATCAGAAGGTGTTACACAGTGCTCTAATCTCCACACATGGATGTTGCAAGGCCAGGCTTAGAGAAAGGATGCTTTCACACATGATAGCTTGAGAGATGCTGGTCAGTCTTGCCAGACAGAGCTATATTCAAAAGTTTCACACCAGGAATCTGTCTCAGCAAGGACCATGACCACGTGAAATATTCACTCTCACTGACATTCCTAGGAACTATTACCAAGTCAAAGATTCTTGGCTTGTAAAAAGTCCCCACAGACATACCAGGCCAATGTTTGCTGAAGTACCTCCATCTTTTGGGCACCTGTCTGATCACACCTTGTTCCTCTGGGTGGAGCAGTCAAGACCTTCATGCACCCTCGCAAAAACCTAACAAATTTAGACCTCGGATAAAGACCTTCTTTGTACCACTTGAAGAACATCTACCAGAAGTTTAATAATTGTAAAAATTTAATATGTAATGGAAGGTTAATGTGTTATGGCAGATTCTTACATGAGGCAAAGTATAATAGGGTTTGGAGGGCAAACTGACTCAGACAGTTTGTCAGCAACTTGCACTTGGCTTCTGAGGCAATGGGATAATTATTTGCAGAGTGTCAAGTGGGCAGCTGCTGCTGATAGAAGAGCTTTTAAATGGTGCAAAGACCCAGGTGACCTGCTGATCTAAGAATGATGAAATAATCAGATTCCATCACTTGCTGTAACAAGCTATTATCAGAGCACTTATTTTAGCACTGCTTCAAGCCTGTAGAACTCAGACACAGGTAGGACATGTCCCAGTGCACCTGTGACATGCACATCTTTTTGCAAGATGAAGCCTTAAATAACACCATTATTTTGGGGCCTCAGAGTGAGATGAAAGACCATTCAGATTACCCATGCTGCCATTTAGACCGTATTCATCAATAAACACAGCAAGCGTAGCAAAAGGTTTTTAGTGGAACTGCTGCACCCACACCAATGTAACAATTTGTCCTGTATCCCACTGTGCTACATCAACAGCATCCCCACTCCACAGCAAGGGAAAACACCAGAAAAAATCCTGTTTGCCTCAGAGAACAACACCTGGTTGTTTCGGTGACATTGCAGGACCAGAATCCGAACCTCTTAAGATATTCCGTCACATAGGAGATTATATTACATGGACTAACCAGTTCACACTTACCACTCCAGCTGGACTGTGCTGGTCTTTAAGTAACTGGACTTCTCAGCGGAAAAATGCTGCATATGGATGAGGTTTTTCTTCTTGTTAGGCACTTTTTTCACACTAGTCAGCCTTAGCACCAAGTTTGGGAAAATTATTTGTTATCGCTGATCTTTCTAAAAATCAGATTTGTGAAAACTACAAAAAATCTAAAATATTCAATCTAGGAAGATGGCAAGAACTTACTTATGTGTCCTTTTAAGGTTTTGGGAGTTTATAACAGACTGTTTGATAATAAGACCTTACACGTGTCTGCCTTAATTGCGTTACACCGACTATCCTTTCCTTTTCCTCTGATCTTCCACTCAAAGCATTGTACAAAGCAAAGGTTTCCTCAGATTGGCCTACATTAGCATAGTCTTTCTAGTGCTTATCAAGGATAGCTCATGAAGTATGACACTGTCTGTGAAGATTCACAAGTACATACCAGGGTCTGTGAGGCATTAATTCATCAGCAGAACAGAGTGGAGTGCTGGAAAAAGCATCAAATGATGACAGAATACAGATGAACACAAGGAAAAAAAAAGGGATTTCAGGGCAACTCTCGAACTAAGTGCTGATCTAGTCATAGGGAGCTCTGGAGTATGAGGATGAGAATTTTAAAGCCCTCCATGTTTGAAAAACAGGCATTTAGCAAGGACAAATTCACTTAGTTTCTGTCCCTTTTCTCATATATTGGAACTCATGCTTGTATTTTAAGAAGGTCTACTTTTAGTGGTATTTAAGACTGAATTTTGATAAAATAAAGAGCAAGGCTATAAGAGGTTCCCCAGAGCTTTGCACTCTGTGTGCTTCAACTTTAGATTCATAATTCCTCTGCATGTTTTGAGTAAGGCATCATTTGGAGCAGTGAAAAGAATCATTTAAGACCAATGCATTTCCCTTGGATAAAACCATCTATTTTAAAACTGTAGGAGACAGAAAAAAGGAAAGCCCTTCACATCTAATCTGAACTTCAGTGACAATGGCACTATATTTGAAAGCATTTATCCCAAAATCACTTAAAATATCACATATACTGAGGCACTCGCAATATTTCAGTGATTTCTGCCACGTGTAGTCATTACTCAGTAACAAAAATATAATTGTACCATTTAACTGTCACCCAAGGCCTGTTTCAATGCCTTATATTTTGGTTCAAGGCAAAGTAAGCATCAGTCACCTATTCTTTTAGGTGACATACTTTATTTTAATAGCACTTGGCAAGAAGGAAATTTTGAGAGGGCCGAGCAAGGCAGCACCTGCCTCAGGTCAGGCTTCTGACTGCCCTGACCTCCAAATTGCTTTTCAGAAAATGAGCAAGCACACCAACTTCAGGCACCACAAGATGGGTGGTCAGGATGCAGAAGGGCTGAAGAACTTCTGGGAAAAGGTCATCCAAGAGCAAACCAAGCAACAAGAAGCCGAAGAGTCCAGGTTAAGCAAAAGTGCCCTGAACAAGTAAGTAATTTTTTTCTTTCACACAAGACTTGTCACCATGTGCTTTAAAATGAGGTAACCTGTTATTGTGCTGCTTTATTCATAGCACAGATTGTGTTCTGGGTCTTTGGCACTTCTCCTCTCGCAGCTGCTTGTCTCGTGTTACTGTGGCTCTTCTGCATGGAAACTCAGACAACCGCTCACCCTTAAACCTCATGGGCATTCTTCAAAGGCCTTGGAGCACAGCCATGAAAAAAATAAAGCACTTTGGCATCATGGCTTGTGACAGCCAGAAGATATCAGTAATTTTACCTGGAACTGATACGACCACGCAAATAAATAAAATAATATTACATTAAAGGGACAACCACCTGTTTTAATCTGTAGCATTAAAAAAAAGGCATCTTTGTCATGTTTAACAGCCCAAAGATAGAAATGACACAAGATTTTCCAATTCAGTGGGGAAAATGATGGGGGGTTTTGTTGTGTAGGGTTTTTTTTCCTTTTTTGTTTTGTGGTGGGTTTTTTTTTAGGTTGATTGGGTTTGGTTTGGTTTGGTTTGGTTTTTTACAAAACAGCATGGAACAATGGGACTCCCTAAAAAGAGCTGTGGCTGTGGTACAGGTACTTTGCACAAGCGGGGTAGACTGTTTCAAATATTTGTTCAACTTGTTGCAATTCAGGAGTTTGAACCAGGGTCTCCTGCACAGGAAGTGAATTCCCTGACTAATAATGACCAGAGACAGAGGATGAGAAATTCCATCTCTCTGGTGGTTTTCTGTTGTGCTTTCCTCCCGAAGTTACAAAAATATTGCTGCATACACTTTCCTCAAAACCGTGGCATTCACATAAACTAATTGCACTTAACAAATTGGAATGTGCTGCCTTAAGGGCTGTTTCTTTTAAAAAAATTCCTGGTACTTTGACCCTAGTGTCCAAGGAGAAAGCTACTGTCATTACTTAAAAACTTGGAAATCAAGATCTGGGCAGACCTCGTGTCCCAACAAAGTCAGAGGCAGACAATCCTGCTTCCAGTATCCTGCTCCGCCTAGTGAGTAATATTCTCTAAATAAAATCCCAGAGTTGCTGGAGAGAAAACATGTGTGATAAAACCCAGGGAGACGTTCAGCTTCACTGGAAGCTTTGTCAACTCTAGATCACAAAAAAACTACCACAAGAAGACTGTGCAAACAAATTGCAATTAGAGCTAAAATATGTTAAAAGCTTTTACAAAAATCTTCTCTGAAGAGAAAAAAAAATGCAGCAAGAGAACTTTGAATGTGTCTTAACATACATATTCAATATGTCTTAACTGACTGGTCACAACTGAAAGAGACCCAAGCAAGTTCCTTCAAGGTCACCTACTCAGTCAAAGCTCAGATTGTTCACAAAGTGTTTTTGTGAACAATCTATTTTGGGAAAAAGATCCTTTCATTTCATTGCAAAACCTAGAGGTCCACTACCTCATGGAAGTGGGACCTAGGAAAACTACAAGGTTTTAAGGAAAGGAAAGTGCTCCCTTTTCAACATTTAGGACACTGGCTGACAATAAACATTGCAATTTTCAATGGCAAATTTTTCCTAACTAACTGCACCTCTTTTTGGGGCTTAATTATATGCACAAAAGAATAGTGAAGACTAGGTAGTAGTTTAAAACACAATCTAAAATCAAGCTCAGAAGCCAAGATAACAGAAGCATCCATGTGAACCAGATACTGCTGAATTATTCTCAGATTAAATCATTGGCTGCTGTTCTTTTCATCACACCAAGGGTAATATAAAAACCCATGTATATTCAATGATGCATTTGGCATTACCATATGATATCTAATCTTATAACATTGCCGGGTCAGGTATTTCAAAACAACATTTCCTTCAGAAAACAACCCAGACAAAAATATCTTGCAGTGGTCCTTAGAGATTTTCTCTTCTGTTTGTGCTATAATAGTGTCTTGAAGCTATGTAGCTCCTCTTGCATGTGACATCAACGCCTTTCATTAAACACATACAGGTTCTGAAGAGGTTGGGTTTTTTTTCCTAACCCAAAGGACATATTTTAAATTCTGCTTGCTCTTTTCCACAGCATTTTGCAGTAAACTGGGGGAGGCTGGGGGGAAGAAATGGTATTTTTTAATTGACACGTTGAATGACCTTACTGCATAGGCAATACTTCTGTGTGGCTTTGAGAATACCCCAGAGAGAAAAAGCAGTTCTTCAGGGTGACAGTATTTCAGCAGTTGTTTGACTCATTCGGAATCCAGCAATGCCAACCACTGATAGCATCAGCACTATCCCTTTCTCCCCTGCATTCCCAATCTAGCAAAGCTGGAGGGATGTGTAATTGGTAAATAAATACAGGACAAGTGCTCTGGTGATGAAAGAGAGGAAAGCCTCGAACCTGCTGAAAAGCCCGGGCTCCATTTGAAGGCTTTGGCTGAGTAATTGCTGAGCACTTGTGCACTTTGTGCTCTCTTTGCAGGCTCCGCCAGGAATGGGCTCTGCGGCTGGAGAGGAGAGCGCGGCAGGTCCAGGCACACACGAAAACACGGGGGGAACAAGGGACGCCGCTGTCCATCGAGACTCTGCCCTCACCAGACAAAACTGTCGCTTAAATTAAGCAAGAATTGGGCCCGACTCTGACCTTCTGCACACACCTATAACCCGGCAGTCACACCGCCCAGCAAGCAAAAGGTCAGAATCTGGCCCTTTTCCAGACTGCTTCTTACAGCTACTGTTTAAGTCCTGCTGAAATTCAGTGCCACAGTACGAAATCTCAAAAAAAAAAAAAAAAAAAAAAAAAAAAAAAAAAAAAAAAAAAAAAAAAAAAAAAAAAAAAAAAAAAAAGGAAAAGGAAAAGGGATAGATGAGAAGCAGACAACTCCAATTCTCCACGATGTGTTATTACTGTGATGCATCAGGAACTCAGGACTCTCTTATGTAACTGCATTTCCAAGTGACAACAACATATTGCCAGGAAAGAGGGTAATAAAAATAATACAAAGCCTTTTTAATAGGGATAATACATTCAGACAGCTGCATGCAAAATTGCTCATTTCCGTGTGCAAGCTCACAGAGCCTAGTTTAATGCAGATATAAGATGTTCTGCTTGTCTTGATGAGCTACAGGGAAGAGAGTTAAGGATTAGCTTGATAAGCTGGACAGGAGGAGAAATTTTCTTTTAATGGAATCAGAAAAAGAGAAGGGGAAGGGGAAGGGGAAGGGGAAGGGGAAGGGNGAGGCTAACCCCAGGCTCCACTCTTAGACCTGGAGCTGGGAAGGGGAATGTGCTGCATTTTTCAGATGTGTGGTAGGTTACTGACTCAGCTTTGAGGAGATGGTGTGTCTGCCTGTCTTCTGTGTGGTAGGATGGGTCTGTGTAACTGATAATAAAAAAGCAGCTTCATTCTGATATCTGTTCCTCTGATCTTGGGATCATGTTCTTGCAGAACTACCTGTCTGTAAATTTTTATTTTAGAGTCCCCTTTGAGTTGGAACAAGACCTCCCTAAGTATTGAGCTGATTTATATATGAATAGCAGCAAAACTCTTTTCTCCACTTGAATTTTGTAAATTTTGGTTATATTCTAGTATAAATGTATACATTTCCTTTTCCTCTAGCTAAAGAAACAATGAAAATTTGAAGAAAAAATTATTATTTAAATTAGTCTAAAATGTTTTTTCTCTGAAATTGAGTTTTTTAATTTTTTGAGTTGAATTGAAATTTGTCAGCTGGACTGTGTAGACCTCAACCAAGATCTGGGAAACAAGTGATCCTGATGCAGAGAAAAAAAGTTTTCAAAATAGTTTTTAAATATTGATTTAATTGCAGTTAACTATAATGCAATGAATAAAAAATAATTTCCAAGTCAATAAAGTATGGTAAATGGAGGTAGAAAATTGCTATAAATTGTTTCATACAAATAATAAAATAAAATCCTAATGTTGGTCAAACCTGGTATCTTTAATTATATTCTTAGGGAAATTGCGAGGTGGGAATATTTACATGAGAGTAAATTCTCAGCCAGAATTGGAGTTCCTCTTTTTTTTCCACTCTTATGAATAAAAATACATTCTATCTTAAGACAAATAGACACAACTTCTTTGTTATTTGTGGTCAGATTTCTTTGATCAAGTACTGGTTCATTTTTTCTTCTATTACATTCCTTTGCAAATGCCTGGTATTTTATTTCGCGCTCCATGTCTTAGACTAATTTGTGTCAAGGGATGACCTGTATTGTTTGTAGCCTTTTTTTAAAAAAATTAAGCTTTTGAAATGAGTTTTATATAGTTTATTCCTTCAAAGCCCACAGGTTAAATGACATATGCATTGAAGTTACTGGAACACAGCTTCTGTGAGGCACGAGATCATTGAGCCTGAAGAAGGTGAATGGACTTCTGAAAGTCTGAATGATTTTGAAGTGCCTTCATTCATCAATACATTTAATTCTGATAACATAAAATGGTGTTACATAAGCCTAAATTCACACATGCCTTTGCTTCTTCTACAAACACAGCTGCAGAACAGCAGCAAAAAAAAACAACTCCAAAAGGCCCCAACAAGGACCAAAACAGTTGCTATACATTGTAATATCATTGGCTGTGACAAAATTACAAAATTTCTTGTATTTTCCTCCAACTTGTTTTAACAAACATGCTCAGAACTAAACATAGTAATAACCAAAATGTTAATTTTTTTCTTCTGGGACATGAGAAGTGCCTGTGGTACATCGTATACTCCATATTTGTTGTTTGGCTTCTCAGGACTTGCATGCTTGTATATGCTCACAGACTTTGCAATTATATCCATCTGAAGTCAAATTCAAGCTTATTCTCAGCCCTGAATATATGGGAGAAACAGCAGAAAGGCTGCAAGGAAGGGGAGGAGTGGACAAGGAAAGGGAGCAAAGATCAGAGTTTGGTGTGGCACTGGATGATTTTATACTATTAGTTTAATAAAAAACTAAAAATGTGCAACAGTTCACAGAGAACTACTCTGAAAATTGATCATTAGGCTTGGCAAAATCACAACAAACACAGAGCCCCCAAAACCAGGCTTTTTATTGCGAATGTTTGCACTTATAAGTGAAGTGTCAATAGGGAAATATAACAAAAATTAATTTCTTCAGCAACTGGCACCTCAACTCTATCGACTAATTAAAACAAAGCAACTCATATAAGAATAACTGATTATTTGTTCTGTGATCCATCTTTTGTTCAAAGCAAGCTAAGCCTGAACAAGAAAGATTGTCTTCATAAAACAAGATACATTCTTTTTTTTTTAACTTTCAAGAGATAAAGGGCTAATCTAAGAGTTTATAGAACATTATTAACTTATAATGGTGCCAAAAGACTCAAAGAGAAGCTATTATAATACCAGGAAAAGCAAAATTCTAGCTTGCTTGGCTCTCTTACTTCTAGCCTCTGAAGTGCCTGACATCTTATGTTTCTACATATTATGTTTCTACCACATTATGTTTCTACAAAATAAATAATGTTTAGGGCAATTACTTAGAGCATAGGAACTTAGATTGTTGAATTTTTCAATTATTTGGCCAGAATCTTGTAAAAACTAGAAGCTGAGCTATGGGACTACATTCTTAACTTAGAGTAAAGCAAGTGCAGTTAATGAATTAATGCTAATTATCAGTAGCTGGAGAGTAACTATTGACCATTATATCATAATTATTCTGTGCACATTCTCTTCATCTGAAATTAAATGAAAAGAAAGGCATCCCGTGTTTCATAATTATTTTCCATTTGATCATACAATCAAAACTGAAATTAGATTTTCTCGGTTTGTTGCTCTGAGATGAACCAGTTTGGAAAAATACTATTCTCGTTACTACGCAAAGGTAAAGACCCTCGATACAAAATACAACTAAAATCAAATTGGTGGATATGAAATAATTCTCACCTTTTTTTTTTTCTGGTTGTTTTCTTTTCAGTGCTGTAGGTAGTCATGAAGCAACAGTTTGGGACATTGTAAGAATGGAAAGGAACTCTATATGTGTGTTTGTGTTTATATTTTTTTGTACATACTCATGGATCATTTATTATGGACTCTTTATCTCCTCTAATGGATGCTTACTACATCAATCCAGCTGACTGATATGAAACACACCAGCAACAAGTCCTTTTCTTTTCTCTAAGATAGATACTTCCTCTGTTTTTCCAGAAAATATTTAAGGAAAAAAAAAGTAAATATGCTGGAATACCAGTTAAAACTTGATACATTTCTCTGTTACTCTAGTTTTAGAGTAACATGATTTTTCAAATGTCAGTGAAGTTATGTAGCATGAGAACAAAGCATTAACATTGATTCTACATTGTCCTTCCCAGTGTTGTATTGTCAGTGGTTTTGGTCAATAATTTCAAAAACTAAAGTGCCAGCTGATCGCTGCGTTGCTAGCATTCATAATAATGTCTTCTCATTCTGTTCATAAGTTATCTCAATCTCTCTAAATAATTGCTTTAATGTAACATGGGGAACAACTCCTACAGAAAAAAAAGATTTTTTTTTATATATATTCAGTATTGTCAATATACTGTAACTCATAATTGCAAATAAAAATAAAGTCTCCATTGTAGCAGTAGAGTGGTTCCCTTCTATCTGTGTCTATGAGAAAGTGTTTTTCAGAACATCCAGTTTAAATAAAAATGCCTTTTTTTTTTTTCAGTTTATGCACTTGAATGCTAACATTTCAACTAGATATTATTGAATCCTTCATAAACGTCTTGGTCATGTTCACTACTTTAATGTGAATTGATAAGACTACTAAATGAAAAATTAACTTACTGAAAAGTTAATTCCATTGGAATATCTGTTTAACCAGAAGAACACAAAAAACCACTTGGAACTTATTGCTTATAGACAGAAGACAAATCCACAGGGGTGATTGTCACCTGAAGTGATTTGAAACCACCATAGAAAGGAATACACAAAATCATCCAAAGATGATCAAGAAAGGAACAAAAAGAAAATGATTCTGGAACTCATTCATCCTTCGTAGGAACTTAAACCCACCCAAACCATCTTTTAAGTCAGCATTCAAGTGGAAAATTGAAGATGAGGTGCAGAAACTAAGGCTTTTTTCACCTTTTTTTTTAGCGACCTAAAAGAAGAAAGGAAGAATTTAACCACTCGAAGATAAAAAGAAAGAATAGGTTTAATTTAGGCTTTCAAGTAGTCATTCTTATAGTCAAAAAAATGCAATCAAAAAGATTAGAGCATTCCCAGTTGATACAATTGTTATCTGATATAATTTTTAAGCGGGAAGAAATAGAATGGCTTTTGCAGTTCTATCAGTAACTACAGGTTGATTTAATGAGTGGAATTACTAATAGTTATCATTCACTGTTTATTTACCTGGGGATATAGCAACATTAGAGAACCTCAGAAACAGCCTAATTCTTGGAGGTCTTCAAAGGCAACTCCTGGGGACATGCAGCACGAAGGAACACAGAGCTCCATCAAGATGAGGATCCTCACAGTGGGGATCTTCATGTAGTGAAATGGGAAATTTTTTTGCAATTGGTAAAAAAAAACCAACTGTGATAGGGAGCTTGCCCTGTGTCACCCTGAAGATATGCAGTTTCCTTAAAACATCACAGAC